GGAGACAGGAAGGTAGGAGAAGGTATGAGAGACATTGCTTTTGAGGCCTTTCCTGTTTTCTTCAGTGCAGAGTACTTTGGAGTATCATGTTCTGAGTCCCAACAAGGGATAATGTTTTTACTATTTCTAAACGGCACATTTTGGTAGATGATGAACTGCAACTCCTGGCATTTTCAGAGCCTATGGTAACTGATAGAAGGTTGGAACCATAACTGTGCTGCTTCCTGGAGAGATCATTATCCAAATGATGAGGAAAATTTCTGTGTCTTAGTTTCTGCTAGGATTTATAGCTTAAAATTTTTTTTCTAGCACAGGTAAGACTAGAAATAGTATAAATAAGTGGTATAATAAAAAGAGGAATTTATACTTTACATGATGAGGAAGGTATCAGACATTTAAATGTTTGTTGTGTGGTTGCAGTTGCACAAGGCAAATTGCAATTTTACATTTTGTTTTCTCTATGCTATAAGAGATACATTTTTTCTTCCAACTTGTTCTTCCTAAATATTTGTTACTTTATATTTTTTGATCTATGCTTCCTGAAATATATTACTAAGATCATTATTATTATTAAAAAAAAAGATTTAGAGTTAAAGAGTTTGCCTAAGATTACATAGCTATTAAGTGCAGTTTTGAACTTAGGTATATTTTATGCCTTAATTTCACTCATAACTTCCAGGGTTTACGAGAGACAATGGAAGAGGTTGGAATTGATGACTGTCAACAGTCAATATTCACCAAATGATTCTTCTGCCAATAACAAGGGAACTGCCTCTAAGAATAAAAATGTTTTGCTAACTACATGTGGTGATATTTACAAAACTGGAACTTTTTTCAGCCAAACAAGCTTAGAAACATTTATTATGTATGTGGCTTTGGACAAGTTACTTAAACTTTTTGAGCTCATTGATTAATTGATTCCAGAAATATTTATTATTTATTTTACTTTATTTTTAAATACTTACTAATATCTATCTGTAAAGCATCAAAGCACAATAAAAAATTAAAGCTATAATTTCCAATTGTAAGTGCTACAAAATTATTGTAACTATCAAATATTGTGTAAATAGGTAAAGAGAGAGTAGAGGAGGAGGGAGGCTGTTTTAAACAGGGTGATCAGGAGAAGCATTGCTAAAGCCGTGGTATTCGGTTGAGATGTGCACAATGAGAAAGAGTCATCTAGGTGATAATATTCACAAAATGGGTTGTACTGAAGAAATAAGAGGTAAAAAAAATCTTACGGTCAGAACAATCTTGGTACATTTGAGAAAGCTATTGTTATCAGGACAGCATGAAAGTGAGATTTACATCAGCGAGGTTACCGGAGATCAAATCACATCAGGCTTTAAAGTCATGGCATGAAATGTGGAATTTCCTGTGAGTGCTATGAGAAAGCACAAGAATGTTTTGACGTGGTGATGATGTGATCTAAGTTATGTCAGCATCCCTTTGGTTGCAGTATGAAGAATATGAAGAATGAACTAAACTCAGGATAGTGTAAAACAAGGAAAAAAAATAGATGTTAAGTACTCTCACCACAAAGATGACAACTTTGTGAGGTAGTTATGTCAATTAGCTAGATTTAGTCATTCCACAATGCGTGTGTACTTGAAAACATCATGTTGTACATATTAAATACACAGTTTTATTCATCAATTGAAAATTTTTAATTAAAAACGAGAAAAATAAAATGTACAGTTGATTGTTCTAGTTTTAATGAGAGATGATGGTGCCTTGGTTCTATGAAGCCTGTAGTGAAAATGTTGTTCCTAAGGTTTGAGGCAAACCTTGGGGCAGAGCAGAGCCAGTAAGAATTTGGTTATAGATTGAATGTAGGTTGTGAGGGACAGAGAAATTGAAGATGATTTGTAGGATTCTTTTCATCACAATAACTATGTGGTTAGTAGGACCGATAACCCCCTAAGGAGAGATGCTGGGTTGAGGAAGCAGTTTCTCTTAGAATGGAGATGGGAATGTTAGTTGATACTTTTATTTTACTCAAATTATCTCAGAAAAGCCTATTAGATATTTACAAGGAAATGTGAAAAGATGTGAATATATGATTGTGGAGCCACAGGAAGAGACAGAAGTGTTACATGCATGCACTGGAAATATTATCATATTTAAAGTCATGGAACTGGGGAACATGCAGTGAGCCCTCCATATCCAAAGGCTCCACATCTGCAGATTCAACCAACAATAAATCATAAAGGTTCAGAAACAAAAAAAAATAACAATAAAAATAACAACACAACAATAAAAATAATACAAATAAAAACAATGCAGTATAACCACCATTTACATGGCATTTACCTTATGTTGAGTATTGTGAGTAATCAAAGAAGATTTGAAGTAAACAAGGGGATGTGTGTAGGTCATATGCAAATATGACACCATTTTATATGAGGAGTTTGAACATCCCTGGATTTTGGTATATGCAGGGGTTGGGGGTTTTTCCTGGAATCAATTCCCTTTGGATACCAAAAGATGACTGTAATTAGAGAAATAATGAAGATAGAATAAAGAAGACATTTCAAAATTTAGAGTACAGACAGGAAGGAGAAACACTCAGAAGAATGCACAAGAAAATAACCAGAAACTGTGAAAAAAACTATTAGGAATCTACTGTGAGCTGAAAACCATAGAGAAAAAATGGTCATCTACTGCAAATACTACTAAGGAATAAAATGAAGTCAGAAAACTCTCTACAAGAGAGATTTCTGTGATATCAATAAATTGTTGGTAATTACTATCTGAGATGCTAATGTTAAAGTTAAATAAACTAAATATAGAAAATGATTATTTTGTTTAATGCTGTGCAACAAATTGCCCCTGAAATTACTGGCATAAAACAATCAAATATTATGCTCATGGAGTCTGTAGGTCAGAAAATCAGGAAAGACTCAGCTGGGCAATTCTTGCTTGGGGTCTCATGTGGTTGCAATCAGAATTATCTCAGCTTGGAGTCATCTAAAATCCTGATGAGGCTGGAATAGTCACTTCCAAAGTGGTTCAATCACAATGATGGCAAATGAGTGTGGACTATTGTCCAACAACTTTAACTTGTTTCCATGTAAGCCCATGAGCCTCTCTATAGGGCTAAATAAGTGTCCCCACACCGTGATAGAAGGCTCTCCCTGAGCAAGTGATTCAAGAGGCCAAAGAGGAAGCAGATACCTTAGAAGTCACACTTCATTACTCCTGCCATTATCTACTTGTTATGAAGGTCATACTTAATGCATAATAGATCAGTCCCAATTTACTCATAGAAATGAGCAAATCTCAGGAGGTAAGAATTATTGGGAATCATCTTGAAGGCTGACCACCACAGTAATATATACTTTTAAATTATTAAGTATACTGACTGGGGATATAGTGAACCTTCAGTAAATGGTAGTAACGGGATTTAACCAAACTCAACTTAAGGACACAATTTTCCAGGCTGCCAGACCTGCCCAATACTTCAAATACTATAAAAGTCACAATTTGCGGGGTCCCAAGGGCTACACTCACTTCTAACCAGCTGACTACAAATCTGGGGTTCCCATAATTCCCCTTAGGTTTGATAACTGGCTTAGAATGATTCACAGAACTCAGGAAAGTGCCATACTTTTTATAAAGTTTTATTACAGCAAATAGATAAAATCAGAACCAAAGGAAGAGATGCATAAGAAAGAAGATGGGACTGGAAAGGTTTCAAATCTGAAGTTTCTGTGTCTTCTGGGATGCATTACCCTTCTAGCACCAACATTTGGCAATACAGACTGTTGTCAGCCTAGGTGCCTGCCCATGCTTCGGTGTTCAGACTCTTTATGGATACTTCATTACGTCGGCATGATTGATTTTGTTCCTGTCCACAGAGCAGAACTTAATCCTTGGCTCCCACTCCCATCCCTGAAAATCAGGCTGATTTCACGTGGTCAAAAACCCCAATCCTCTAATCACATGGCTGATCTTTCTGGCATGACAAGTGACCTTTCTGGCATGACAAGTCCCTACCTTGGGTCCTCTCTGTTAGCATAAACAATTGATTGTGGTTCAAGGAGCCCACCAAAAACAACAAAGATACTTCCATGACCCAGGAAATTCCAAGCTGTTAGAGCTTAGCCTCAGAAATTGAACAAAGGCCAGACCTGGATAAAGTTAATTCTTCACTAAACTGTTAGATATTATGATTGCCATTAAAGCTGAGTTCCTAAATAAAACAATAGAGAATGTGACAAGATTTCGGATTCCTAAGAACACAGACAGTTAGAGTTAGATGGAAATAGAATATCTGCTCTTTTTGGTATTTTACTGCGAAGTCCTACAATTTTACTGTCTTCTGATTATGCTGTATGTCAATAATAATTAAGCAATGAGACCCTGCAGCTTTCCCCAACCAGGAAGCCAGGAAATAAGTAGAATCCAATTAGCTTTTTTTGTAGCACTGTGCTTAAGTCAAGATAACTATCATCCTGAATTCAAGGTTGTTCACATGAATAGCACCAGAGTAAACATAGGAAATGAGAACCAGTATATTCATGAAGAGTAAGAACTGGAGGTTATAGATCTGACATTAACACATATATTTTCTATGTTCTGACCCTTATGAGACTCACTATTCATGGTGCATCACTGTCATTTCACCTCGTTATTATAATACAATCTCCTTCTGCTGTCTTTTTACCCTTAAATTTATATTCTGTTATGCTACATTTACCTCTGCTATGATGCCATTATCATGAGAGCAGGGTTTTAGTTTCAGGAAGTTTTCCTGTAATTTTATATTTAAATAGAATTTCTTAGTATAGTGAATCCATTTTAGATGTTTCTGTTAGAATTATAGAATAGCTGTAAGTCAGCAATTATAGTCCCTTATGCTAATTTTTGGTGGACGTATAAATGAGTCAATAAAACTGGGGCAAAAGACATGTAGAAGTCTTTCAAACTTAAGGCAGTAACTTGGGTTCTCTGTTTTGGTTGCCTTGTAAAATTAGCATATTCATGTCAATTCTTACCTTTAATATATTCTGGACTTTCTTGCCTCTGTCCCATCAATACATGAAACTTATTTAGCATAAACTAAATGTATATGAAACAACAAGCTACACCCTATAAAGAATCAATGCGGCCGGGCGTGGTGGCTCATGCCTGTAATCCCAGCACTTTGGGAGACAGAGGCAGGTGGATCACTTGGGGTCAGGAGTTTGATACCAGCCTAGCCAACATGGCAAAACCTCGTCTCTACTAAAAATACAAAAATTAACTGGGCATGGTGGTGCATGCCTGTAACCCCAGCTACTTGGGAGGCTGAGGCAAGAGAATCACTTAAACCTGGGAAATAGAGGTTGCAGTGAGCCGATATCGTGCCATTGCACTCCAGCCTGAACAACAAGTGCAAAACTCCATCTCAAAAAAACAAAACAAAACAACAGAATCAATGTGTATACAACACAGGCCTCATCCAAGAAAGGGCTTATAGTCCACGTTGTGCACTTTCCTCTGTCTAGAATATTCCCTTATGTCTCCTTTCTTTATTTCTATGGTTCTCTCCAGACCATCAAGCATCCTCATTCCACATTTTTTCAGTATTATAATAGTAAACTCAAACACACTAAATTCTGCAGAGCTTAATGGACTTCCATCCATTAAAATAAGAACATCTAAATTATGTTTTTCAAATTTTATTAAGGCTTATGTATTTGATTTTGTATAAACTCAAAATTATCACATGCCTTTGTTCATTTGCTTTTCCAAACTTATAAATTATGAAAATAAATGTAATGTCAGAAGTAAAGTGTGTGTGCCATTATTTTATGATAACCTTGAATAGTTTCAATTCTAAAGGAAGAACTATAAACTGGAAAAATATAAAGTCTCTATAATGGTAACTATATGAGGGTAGAGTTGCTTTATCACACCTTTCTGCAGTCGGGTATTATTCTTATCCAGGCTACATATTTGCATATGTAATTTATTATTGTTCTGCCCTACAAAAGATTTTATCTACTAAATATATATTTGTCTTTTCTCTGTTTCTTGTGTTTGTGACTAATAAGAGATTAAATTGTTTTGAATTAAAGTTTGATTTATTCCTCCTCTCTCATCTGAAAAAGATTCTTGCTTTTCTGGGAAATTAGCCTCCCTTAAATAGGATATATTGCTACTAAATTCATACTTATAATTAAAACATTATCTCTTAATTTCTTATGTATTTGTTGTCTGGACCATTTGTAGTAACATGATACACAGAGAGGAATAAATGACCATAATGGAAAAACATGACTTTGGGGATCAGATAAATTCTAGTAGTGACACTACCTATAGCATGTAGAAGTGTTTATATTATTGCCATTGCTCAGAAATTCTAGCTATCAAATGAAGAATATTAATAGATACATTGTCCCAAAGTTTAGTTGTTAATGTCAAATATATGGGTAGAACAGCTATGTTTTTATTTGTATTCAGTATATTATAGCATTTATTATTACTAATATTAGGATGGAGTTTCTTGTTGATATTCTTTAGTTTGCTTAATTATCCAGCAGAGAAATAGAAAGTGTCCATTAGACATTAATTAAACTGAATTGAGATGTACCAGTTTTCAAGAGTTTACATGTTCAGTGCAACCGCAACAATTCATTAACATCAATCAATCTACTTCCTTCTACTATTAATAGATCCTCAATCTTCAAAACTTCAGCCTCAGAAGTGGCCATCTGACTCATAATGAGAAATTCATAGTACTCCGGACCCTTGCCCACTGGCCCTGAGATGGTCTCATGATCCAGACAAGATCATGTTTTTTTTCCTGCCATTTTAAATATTGGCTTTGAGGGTGATAATGTGGATCTCTCATCTCAAGCTCCTAAGTAAGGTTAATTAATGTAAACTTAACGTACCCTCTGGCAGGGAGAATATTTGCTTATGAAGTGAATACACATAGGCAAAATAGAGACCTTAAAAAAGGCAAAACGTTAACATAGGAGTGACTCCAGAAGTGGGGAGTCAAACACTGGACCAAATTGAAGACTAGCTGAAACAGGGAAGAGGCAAAAACACCTTTTCATCAGAGATGCTTACTAATGCCACGTCAGTTTACCATTGCCAGGACAACACCCAAAATTTGCTGCCTCTTTCTATGACAACTATCTGATGAACCTGAAGTTACTACCTTTTTCCTAAAAATTTCTGCATAATCTACGCCTTAACTTGCATGTAGTTAAAACGGGGTATAAATATGACTGTGTTACTATCTCTGAGCTGCTACTCTGGCGCACTGCCTATGGGGTAGTTTTGCTCCACGAAGAGCAATACTGCTGCTGCTGCTGCTGTAGACTGGTGCTTTAATAAAATTTGTTGTCTAACACCACCACTTGCCCTAAATTTCTTTCCCACAAAGACTAAGGTTTTTGCCAGTGTTATATGTGCAGAGGGATCAGGGGAAGGAAGAGAAGAGAAAGACATAAGTATTTGAGTGTTTAGATCTAGTCATTTCTAATTCCCCTTAGTGTTTGAGTGTTGCTACTGAAAAGATTCCTGAGGAATAGTTGCAGGAAAGAATGAATATCTGCATATTAAGGAAACTTGAGGTTTGACTTTGACTATGTTTAAAATCTTGAATGTAACTGAACAAGATAAGTCCTAAAGTTGCTCATGACTGTAGAACAACCTATTTCTTTTCTTTTCTTTTTTTTTTTTTTTTTTGAGACGGAGTTTCGCTCTTGTTACCCAGGCTGGAGTGCAATGGCGCGATCTCGGCTCACCACAACCTCCGCCTCCTGGGTTCAGGCAATTCTCCTGCCTCAGCCTCCTGAGTAGCTGGGATTACAGGCACGCACCACCATGCCCAGCTAATTTTTTGTATTTTTAGTAGAGACGGGGTTTCACCATGTTGACCAGGATGGTCTCGATCTCTTGACCTCGTGATCCACCCGCCTCGGCCTCCCAAAGTGCTGGGATTACAGGCGTGAGCCACCGCGCCCGGCCAGAACAACCTATTTCTAAAAAGTCATTATTTGGGAATGCAATAGATGAAACACAGATCATAGTCTGTTTCATATATTTATAAATTATTTTCCAACAACATTCATAGCATTAAATGTACATAAAAAATTTGATGCCTATTAGTTTTCTAGTATATTTCAAAATTTAAAGTAGGCAAGATTTTATGAGACATGAAATGACTGTTACAGTAAATTCTCACATTGGTCACAATCTTTATTTAAATTATATAGATATTCATTAGCAGTAAAACAAAAAACTATGCCACTTGGCCTTTCCTATTATATATAGCTCATGAGATTTCAAATTATGTCAATTATTTTTCTAATGTTTTGTGAAGTGTTTGACATCTAGTTTAATTTTTTGTTATTTTAAGCTTTCTGGTTACTCAGTAGCCATCTCAGTTTTTAAAAAAATTATGTCCTTGAAAATATTAAAATTTGGCAATCATACAACCATGTTTTCTCTCTTGTACACACACATACACATGCACATACCCACACACATACTCCTATCCATCCATTTGTCTATATTTTTATTTACATGACGCCCAAATATCGTAAGACCACTGAAGATATCAGAGGGCCAATGCAGTAGCCTCTTGAGACTTGTAATGTATGTATTAAAATATATGTGAATGTCCAGTCCAATACGTTAAACCTAAAATTACCAAAGCATACGATAGTTTTACTTTTTAAAATGTTTTCACTCCAAAATTCAACATCTATAACATATTGCGTACAATTTCCAGTCTGTACTTATGAATCTTCTATCAATTACCAACTCATCTATTTACTCTTGCTCCTACACACACACACACACACGCACACACACACACACACATCCCATACAATTTCAGTATTTTCTTGTATCACTTTTAAGATTGGCATTTTGTTACTGCCCAAACAAAATTTATAAGTTGTTACTAATAGCAGCAATAACAACAATGATAATAGCAAATACTCTTATAAGACTTAGAAAGTTCTAGGCACTGATTATAAAGTAACTTACACTTGCAGAAAATCACTTATTGAATCTATCCCCATGGAAACTTTTATGAGGTGAAGGTATTTATTATTAATGTGTTCCATTTCACAGATGAGAAAGTCCAGGCACAGTGAGGTTCAGTAACTTGTCTGGAGTAATTCAGTAAGAGATTAGCAGGGCCAGACGTCACACCCAGGCAGTGAGGCTCTAGATTTGATCACTTGATTACTACATAGTCTACATCTTACTTAGGTCAACACAGATTCTACTTTACGACCTGTTTCCTAAAATTTATATTGACATTTATATTGATTAATGACATTTATATATTTCCTAAATGGAGGGAACACTGGCAGGCAGTTGATGGCCACAGCAATACCCAGAGCAAATAAATGGGCCGAGAGGATGTGAAGCATAGTGAGATCACTGTCTGATGTACTTTTAAACTGTGGTATCTGCATCATCACAAAAACATTAAAAAATGTATCCTCAAATATTTCCTAAATAATAAAATCAATCAAGTAATCAGTCTATTACCTAGCCCACATATACATAATTGGGATGAGGCAAAGATGACATTTAACTCAGTTGTGATAATTTACTAAACATGCATTTTCTATTTTATCTATCTCCTTTTCATTTGTAAAATGAATACATTAACAAGTAGTATATAATTTAAAACATGTTTATTCTTGATGATCATTTGATGCTGCATTAGGGAAAGACACATCCTCTACTACTCTCATATTTTCAGGGACTTCATAGAAGTGTCAGGTATAGAGATGGTTTAAAATAAGGTCTCATGGCAATGCAGAATAGAATTTCATACTGAAAATACTTTAATGTAGGTCAATAGTTCCCAAACTTTTGCATACAGTAGAATAAACTAGAGGATTTGTGAAAACACAGATTGCTTGTAAGGTACATGGATGTGCTTTGGCTGGTGAATAGGCCAAGGCAGCTGTCCAGCCAGAGTGACTCAGGGAGTTTGGTGAACAGGCACACACCTCCACTTGTTTTATAACCTGTTTGTGTAAGTTCGTACTTGACTTGGAGCCACTATTGTTTGTAGAAGGTATGACTGCCCTGCAAATTCTGTGCATAGAGGCTTGGCTTGGCTCAACATGGCTGGACATGGCTCTTGTGCAGGCAAACTGGTGCCCAGAGAAAGAGAGAGCCAAAGCTCTTCGTCTTGCAGACAGACAGGAGGGAGCCAGGACACAGCTCAACTTGTTTGTACCCTGAGAGAGAAAGAGTTAACTGCTGACCCTGAAGGCAGGGTAGAGCCAGCCACACAGCTGAACTAAGCAGCCAAGATAGGGCAAACTGTAAAAGAGCTAGTATGAGTAAGCTATGTAAGAGAGATGCTGCTGAATAAAACCATATTTACATGCCTAGTGTTCTTTCTGCTCCTCCACCCACTCCCCTGAAACTTAAGCATGAGTTTGACCCAGATCCTGGGATCTGACATTGCTTGACCCATATCTTATAATTTCTAATTCAGGAAGTCTGGGTGAAGTTTAAAACTGCATTTCTAACAAGTCTCTGGTGATGCTAATGTTTATGGCCTGAGGTTCACACTTTTTGGGAAAAATGAATCCAAAGAGTTCAGTGCAATTACATGCCACTAATGAACTAAGCTTCAATTTCTGCAGAACAGTTTTTGATTAGAAATTTATAGGTTTAGGAGGAGGTTCCAAGATGGCCAAATAGGAACAGCTCTGGAGTGCAGTTTCCAGTGAGAACGCAGAAGGTGAGTGATCACTGCATTTCCAAACTAGTTTTTACTGCCCACAGACCAGGAGATTCCTGGGCAGAAAAGTGTCATGAGTTTCCAGCATGGCTACAGCAGGCACAGTGGGTCCCAGCACAAAAACTCACACAAATCTGGGTGGCCGTTTCAACTGGCACCTGGAACATCTGGGAGACAGAGTCGTACATTCAACTGAAAAAAAGGGGGCTGAAACAGGGAGGCAGGTGATCTGGCTCAGCGGGTCCCACCCCAACAAAACCAGCAATCTGAAATGCTCTGGATTGAGAATTTCAGAGCAAGCACAGCTGGACCCACGATGGTCCAGCTTTGTTGGGGGAAGGGCATCCACCACTACTGAGGCAGTCTGCCCTTACTAAGGCATTCCACCATTACTGAGGCAGCCCACCATTACTGAGGCAGTCTGCCATTACTAAGGCAGTCCACCATTACCGAGGCAGTCCGCCATTACTGAGGTAGACCGCCATTACTGAGACAGTTTTAACTATACCTCTATAAACAAAACTGCAAGGAAGTTCACACAGCAGCTGGGCAGAGCCCACGGCAGCTCAGCAACACCTCTGCTGGCAGACTGTGACTAGGCTATCTCCTCACTGGGCAGAGCATCTCTGAAAAAACGCAGTAGAATGTCAGGAACTTATAAATAAAGCCCCACCTTCCCAGGACAGAGCACCCGGGAAAAAAAGGCTGTTATGAGTTCCCCTGCAGCAGACTTAAATGTATCTGCCCAGCAGCTCTGAATGGAACAATGGAGCTTACAGCTCAGCACTTGAGCTCCTAAAAAGGACTGACTGTCCCCTCAAGCAGCTCTCCTACCCCCATATATCCAAAGAGACACCTCATAAAGGAGAGCTCAGGCTGACATCTGGTGGGTATTCTTCTGGGACAAAGATAAGAGAAGAAGAAACTGGCAGCAACCTTACTGTTTGGCAGCCAGTGCAGGTGATCCCCAGGCAAGCAGGGTCTGGAGTGGACCTCCAGCAGTCCTATTGCAGAGGGGCCAGACTGTTAGAAGGAAAACTAAAAAAGAAAAAGAAATAATTTCATCATCAACAAAAAGGATGTCCACTCAGAGACCCCATCTGAAAGTCACCAACCACAAAGACCAAAGGTATATAAATCCACAAAGAGGAAATAAATCAGAGTAAAAAGGATGAAAATGCCCAAAACCAGAACACCTCTCCTCCACCAAGAGACAACAACTCCTTACCAGCAAAGGAACAAAGCTGGATGGAGAATGAGTCTGATGAATGGACAGAAACAGTCTTTAGGAAGTGGATAATAACAAACTTCTCTGTTCTAACCCAAAGCAAAGAAACTAAGAACCTTGAAAAAAGGTTAGACAAAATACTAATGAGAATAAACAGCTTAGAGAAGAATATAAATGAATTGATGGAGCTGAAAACACAACACAAGAACTTCATGAAGCATACATAAGTTTCAATAGCTGAATCAACCAAGCAGAAGAAAGGATACCAGAGATTGAAGATCAACTCAATGAAACAAAATGAGAAGGAAATATTGAGAAAAAGAGTGAAAAGAAATGAACAAAGCCTCCAAGAAACATGGGATTATGTGAAAAGACCTAATCTATGCTTGATCGTTGTAACTGAAGGTGATGGAGAGAATAAATCCAAGCTGGAAAACACTCTTCAGGATATTATCCAGGAGAACTTCCCCAACCTAGCAAGGCAGGCCAATATTCAAGTCTAGGAAATACAGAGAATACCACAAAGATATTCTTCAAGAAGAGCAACCCCAAGGCACATAATCATAAGATTCATCAGGGTTGAAATTAAGGAAAAAATGCTAAGGACAGCCAGAGAGAAAAGTCAGGTTTCTCACAAAGGGAAGTCCATCAGACTCACAGTGGATCTCTTGACAGAAGCCCTACAAGCCAGAAGAGAGTGGGGACCAACATTCAACACCCTTAAAAAAAAAGAACTTTCAACCTAGAATTTCATATACAGCCAAACTAAGCTTCATAAGCGAAGGAGAAATAAAATCCTTTGTGAACAAGCAATTACTCAGAGATTTCATCACCACCAGGCCTGCCTTACAAGAGTTCCAGAAAGAAGCACTAAGCATAGAAACGAGCAACCAGTGCCAGCCACTACAAAAATGTACCAAATGGTAAAGAACGTCGACACAATGAAGAAACTGCGTCAACTAATGGGAAAAACAACCAGCTAACATCAAAATGGCAGGATCATATTCACATATAACAATATGAATCTTAAATGTAAATGCCAATCAAAAGAAACAGACTGGCAAATTGGATAAAAAGTCAAAACCCATTGGGGTGCTATAACCAGGAAACCCATCTCACATGCAAGGACACACATAGGCTCAAAATAAAGGGATGGAAAGATTTACCAAGCAAATGGAGAGACAGAAAAAAAAAAAAAAAGCAGGAGTTGCGATCCTAGTCTCTGATAAAATAGACTTTAAAACAACAAAGATCAAAAGAGACAAAGAAGGGCGTTACATAATGGTAAAAGGATCAATGTAACAAGAAGAGCTAATGATCCTAAATATACATGCGTCCAATGCAGGAACACCCAGATACATAAAGCAAGTTCTTAAAGACCTACAAAGAGACTTAGACCCCCACACCATAATAATGGGAGACTTTAACACTCCATGTCAATATTAGACAGATCAATGAGACAGAAAACTAATAAGGATATGGAGGACTTGAACTCAGATCTGGACCAAGCAAACCTAATAGACATTTACAGAACTTGCCACCCCAAATCCATAGAATATACATTGTTCTCAGCACCACATCACACCTACTCTAAAATTGACCACATAATTGGAAGTAAATCACCCCTCAGCAAATGAAAAAGAATGGAAATCATAACAAACAGTCTCTCAGACCACAGTGCAATCAAATTAGTACTCAGGATTAAGAGAAACTAAGTCAGAACTGCACAATTTCATGGAAACTGAACAACTGGCTCTTGAATGTTGACTGGATAAACAATGAAATGAAGGCAGAAATAAAGATGTTCTTTCAACCAATGAGAACGAAGAAAGACACAACATACCAGAATCTCTTGAACACATTTAAAGCAGCATCTAGAGGAAAATTTATAGCAATAAATGCCCACATGAGAATCAAGGAAAGATCTAAAACTGACACCCTATTATCAAAATTGAAAGAGCTAGAGGAGCAAGATCAAAAAAACTCAAAAGCTAGCAGAAGACAATAAATAACTAAGTTCAGAGCAGAACTGAAGGAGATAGAGTCACAAAAAACCCTTCAAAATATTAATAA